ATAAAAGGGTCAATGTATGTATGCCTAATAACAGCTTCCAAATACATGAAGTTAAAATAGGACTAAAGAAGAAAGAGACCGGTTCACAATCACAGTTGGATACTTTGAGACTGAAAAAAGAAAGAACAAGTTAAAATTTTTATTTAATTCAAATCTCACAGTTATTTAATCAATTTTTTTCACATTTTGTTACATTTATAATATTTTACTGTCTTAAGCTAAATCAGTGTTATTTTACTGTTACACAGCTCCATTTTCTGTTTTCCTTTCTACCCAGATCTTCAGAGAAGAAATTTCAGTGTCCTCGCCTTCAGTTCATTGTATATATTTTTGCCACATTTACTTCCTATCTCTTTTTTTGTCAAAATATATATATATATATATATATTTGTTACAGATAGTGCTGCCCGCCCACACACCTCCCCTTCCCTCCCCCTTATCATCCTGCTGCAGAAGAAACCACTCTCCATGGTTCTGTAGTTACTACATGAGTATGTGTCCATAAACAGTAAATACGAGCATTTTGTGTTTTGAAATTTTGCAAAAAGATGAATACAATATATGATACCTTTTTAGAAGCGTATTAATGCATGTACACTGAGTTTATTTACCTGCTGTTTAGTATTCTGTGGCTTGAATTAACCACTCTTTAGCCATTCCTCTGCTGGAACACTGTTCCCGTTTTCTGGCTGCTACACAGAGCTTCGCAATTGAGTACCTACCCCCTCGACAGTTCTGCTGGGTGTTGTCAGCTCGCTCTCCCAAGTGTTGTACCGCTTACCTTCGCTCAGGACTGTGTGTGTGAAAGTTCTCAGTTCCCCCTCATCCTCACCAAAACTTGAAACCAAATTTTCCTGTTTTTGCCAATTATTATTGTATTTAACATTGTTCATTTCAGGTTGCGTTTCCCTAAAGACCAGTGAGAATAAATATCCTTTCATGTGTTTGTTGGCCATTTGAGTTTCCTTTTCTGAAACTACCTTTTCCTCTGCTTTTTAAATTGGGTTGATTGTCTTTTTCTTACAAGTTGATAGTTTCTTTATGTTCTGATGCTCCCTTTGTTGACAACAAGAATCCTAAGTACCTTCTCCCGGGCTCTTCCTTGTGTTTCACTTGATTTATGGTAACTGTTAGTGCACTGTGGGTTTTAAATTGAAAAGTGGATGAATGTGTGTTTCCTTTCATAGTTGGGGCTTTATGTTTCTTATTTAAAAATCCTTCCCCACCCCAGTGCCAAAAAGATGTTCCTTCTATATTTTGTGCAGAAAAATTTTCAGTTTCGTAAACTATGTTTGTGTCCTTAGTCCGTTGGGAGTTATGTACAGTGTCAGGAAGGGGGACCCATTTTGTCTTTATCATAGTGTGTCACCTGTGTATCCTTGTCCCCTCCAGTGGACCCGTTTCTGTGGTGGACCAGGTGCCTGTACACAAGAATCAGCTTCTCTGCTCTTGCTCTTTACGTCTATTTGGGTAGCTCTACGTAAAGACCACACTGTTTTCATTACTCAGACTTTGTAGCATACTTTGAAATCTGGTAGGCCTTATTCTGTTTCTCTAAAATTACCTTGTCTATTCTGGATCCTTTGTTTTTAACTCTTTTTACTATGATAAAGAACACATACTAAAATGTACATAAACTAGAAATGTCACGAACCCAAACAAATCATGTGAAGTGAACATACCCATAAAAACCCACGCAGGTCAGAGCCCCGCCCACCCCAAAGCGCTGGGCGCCCCTCCCTCCCATGGCTGCTCACCTGGTGCACACTGGTCTTCCCACTTGATAGATAGTTCAGATTGCTCCATCCACAAAATGGGCTCATAACGTATGCAGTCTTTCGTGTCCGGCTCTTTTCTCCCAACATTATGTCTAGAAATTTAAACCCTAGTATTCCATAGGAACTTTAAGATTGACGTTTGAGTTCCAACCAAAAACCCTAAGATTTTATTTGGAATTATATTGAATTTATATATTAATTTGATGAAACTTGGTATCTTAACCATTTTACATCTTCCCATTTGTGGATATGATGTTGTAATATCTTTGTCATTAGAGTTTTTTTTTAATGACCCTATTGTAGTTTTATAGCTTTCCATAAAGGCATTATATATTTATTATTAAATTTATTCCTAAGGATCTCATAGTTTTTGTTGCTGTTATCTGCTCATAGTTAATTGTTTTTCCTTTCCGGGCAGTCTGTATGTGATCTCTGGTTACTTTTGTTGACTTAAAGAAAAATGCACAATATAAGAGTTGTGAGTTTAAGTTTAATTCAGGGTCTTACTGAGGACTGCAGCCTGGGGGACATGTCTGAGGAGCTGCCCTGAAGTTGGGGAGGAGCCAGTATATATATGGATGTTTCGGTTAGGAAATACAGGCAGTTAAGCATACATCTCGATAAAAGAGGGCTGCTGATCGCACAGAACAGATATCTCGAGTTAATTTTAGTGTTTTCTATGTATGTGAAGGTGCAAGAATCTGGAGTCATGGAAATTCTTCCTGAGACAGGCATCTGGCTGTCTAGGGGCCTGTTTATCTAAAGCCCAGAGCACCTCATCCTAGTTCTCCATCCTGAATCCTCCCGAGGGCACAGTCAGTGGGTGACTGCAGTGGGTTGTGATTTAACCCTTGTGTAATGAGCGCTTTTGTGCTTTTTTGTTCACACTTCTAAGGATTTCTTTCTCTGTTTCACTATAATGGATCTAGAAATAAGTTTCATTTATTATCCTTCTTGGGACTCCTGCATTTTCAGTCTGAGTATTTATATTCTTTACTAATTCTGGAAGACTCTTAGCTGTTTATCTCTTGACGTACAGTCCCCTTCTCCCCGCACTTCCTCTGTTGTCATCTTCTGGAAGGTCTATGACACTTACACTGAGGGCCTCTCTGTCTGATGGAATCCACCTTTTAGGGCCCAGGGCCTCCCCGCTGGGCCCGCTCTGCCTGCTCCACAGCCTCCTTTGGCTCCGGAGAGCTGTGCCCTGCAGAGCTTTACCTTCTCCCTGCAGGGAAGGGAGAGGGCAGACGTGGGCTGTGCAGGGGAAGGGGAGGAATTGCAGATGCTTCTTGCAGGGAGTTATGTGACCCTCCACTTCACTCCTGCCTTCACAGTACCTGGTGCCTCTGATCCCCGAGTCCGTCCAGGGGACCCTCTCCCGCATCTGGATTTACCCTTTTCCTCATGTGCTAAGTGATTCTGACTGCTCGGTGTGTCTTCCATTTTATTTTGTGGTTGAGGATCACAGGTGCTTTCTAGTTTCACTGAATGTGGAGTTTGTTTCTGTTTTCATTTTCTTCGTTGCTTTGTACCATTTTTGAGAGAAGTAGCATGGAAATTATTTGAAACCTAAAGTCCTTTTCCATTCACTCTTCAGCCTCCTCCAGTCTGTTTTTTGCTCCTACCACTGCACCAAAACTGTTCTTAATTTTGCCCAATCCAGTGGTCGTTTTCCTCTCTGTCTTGCTTGAGCTCTGGGCCGCATTAGACAAAGCTGACTATTCCCATCTTAAAACCATCTTAAAACACTGTTCTCTCAGCTTCAGTGGTACTAAACTCTCCTCATTTTCCTTCTTTTCCCTGGCAGCCCCTTCTTAGAGTTTTCTAGCTTCTCCTACTTTGTCTATCCACAAAATACTGGCGACGTCTGGGCTCGATCCTAAGTCCTCTTCTCTCTTCTGTGATACATTCCCCACCCTCAAATTGTCTCATCTAGTCCTGTTGCTTTAAACACAATTTAATACCACTAACTCCCAAATCCTTGTCTCCATTAACTTTTCCCTTGAGTTCCGGGTTTTTATATCCCACAACCCACTTGCTGGCTCCACTGACATTTCTGATAGATACTCCCAAGCTCATTCCTGCATTGCATTTGTTTCCTCTGCCTGAAATGTTCTTCCTCCAGTTCATCAAATCCCTGGTACCTCATTATCCTTAAGATCTTTGCTCAAGTGTCACTTCCCCTGAAGCTTCCCTGACCAGCTGACCTACAGAAGGTCCCTGCTCCAAGTCACTTTCTTTTAATTCCTTCATAGGACTTGTCTGGAAGTGTTTTATGTGTGTGCTTGTTTACTGTCCAGTCTCTCCACTGACCACGGTTACCTCCCCTCTGTAAAGGCAGGACTTTGTTTGTCTTGTCTCCCTCCATATTCTAAGTGCCTGTGACAGTGCCTAAGGTGTGTAGCAGATGCTCAATAAATTTTTATCTAATTAGTTAATTTTATTAGTAAAACTTTTTTTTAAAGTGTATTTTTCTCTCAGTAGATAGAAAGTTGTCAAATACACTCTAATCTGGTATGAACAACTTCTTATCCTAAGAATCAAATTCACAAAATTAAATATTTTTTACAAAAGAATAGCAGTGCTCTTTTTACCTAGAATACCATAGAGTCTTTAGACTTCTTTTACCAGATAAATTGCCTTAAAGATGAAAAATAGGCTTATTTATAAACAGAATTATTAATTGCTAACTATTGGCAAAGATTTTTAAATCTAGAAAAATCAATATTTGGGAAATATATTAAAACACCATATTTTTTAGATTATCTTTATTTTCTGATAAATTTATTATATGACTGGGTCACGCTGAACATCAGCATTGTTTTCTGGAATCTCTCTCTGATGGCTATCTGCCAATAAGAATAACCACAGAGTTATACAGGGTGAAAGTGTTTTGATAATCAGATCTTTTATGGCTTAAAAAAAAATGAAGACATTGTTTTTAAAATATTATACCATTACTTTGAATGTCAAGTGGTTAGGATTTTGCTGTCTCTTCGAAAACGAAATAAAAACAAACTTGTTTACTGAGTAAATTAAACTTGTCATTGATTTGAACTGCTTAGTGTTCTGCAGCTTGGTAGAAGTTTAGTTATTACCTAACACTGTGAAAATGAAGAAGAGTGCCATCTGAAGTATTTTGTGGTTATTGATTTCTTTGTTAAATATGTTCTTTAAAATGTTGCTACATTTCAACCATCCAGTTGGACTCTCTTCTTGTAGATTTCGGGTATCTGCTACAGCAGTGACGTGTTCCAAGTTCGTCAGGTTCTCTACGTCCCCCGCTGGCTGGCAAAGTTCTGTTCCTGGGCCCTTGAGCCCATCTTCTCATCATCAGAACCCACCAGTGAAGCCAGAATCGGGATGGGAGCCACGGTGGACATCCAGAGACAGCAAAGGATGGAGCTGCTTGATCGGCAGCTGATGCTGTCGCAGTTTGCACAAGTGAGGCGACAGAGGCAGCAGCAGGTAAATGATAATTGTGATAAAAATCCAAAAATGCTCTGTGGCCTGCGTGAACCTCTCCTCTGAGACTGTGTGTGTGGCAGGGACTACATTTTATTTCTGTGCATTGCATTTGTGGATATTTTGACATGTTTCTGAATAGAATATAAGTCTCTGATAGTGGCTATTCTTAATTTTTTCTTAAGGTGAAAAAAGTAAATTGCAGCTAAAAGACTGGTCAAACTGGACATTCTTGTTCCACTTCTATTAGATAAGCATTATTTCTTGGAGAAACACCAACCTAGTTAACAAGATGTGATATTTATCTGTTTTTATAATCTTGTAAAAGCCACAGTGTCTTCCTGTTAAAATGCTTATTATCGTGTGCTTTGGAGTGAAGAGCAAATGTCAAACTTCTTGATTTTCCTTGGTTGAATTGTAGAGAATGTGAAAGTAAGAAAACTTTCAAAGGAACAACCAAGTAGATCAGATAAATGCTGTGTTTTCTTATCCTTGTCATTAATCATCTGGAAATACTGAGCGTATGTCTATGAGTTATATCCAGACAATCTGATACCACACTTGTCCTTCCAGGGTTATTCTGCGTCAGGCTAAGACCTCATACCCAATCTGCCTTTGACACGTCTGTGGTCCAGCACAGGCTCTTCATTTCTTGTCTCCATCTTCTTCACCCTCTGTTCTCTCCTGCCATCTCCCTGTCTCCTGTCTACATGGTATGTGAGAAGTAGGTCTGCAGGCCTCACCGTGGTCTGGAAAAGTGAAATCAGGTGTGACGTCCCTGATGTCCCACTGGAGACATGGGTTCCAACAGTTCACATCTGAAATGGAAAGAAGGAGGCACTTTATCAATGGGCCAGGTCTACAGGTGAGAAAGCCGTTCCCTGCAGGTATATTTGAGGTTACTGAAACATACAGTAAAGAGACCCATAATGTGGTTAAACGTGGAGGACAGACGTCTCTCAGAGAGAGGTCAGAGCTGCAGGTGCGGATCATGGAGTCAGTGTGTAGGGCTGGGAGATGTGTACCACTAGAGCATCATACCCAAGATGAATGTGGCTCTAGACTAAACCTGTATTTAGCAGGAGGAAGAGGTAGATCCTTTAGGGAAACAGAGGGAAGGATGAAAAGTGTGGGAACTCAAACTAATCAGTGTCCCCAAAACTGAGTAACGATGAGAGTAAATATTTTCCGGGTAGAATGGGCAGAGCTGTGAGGGAGAGAAAGAAGCTGTGTGTGATTCTGAGGTTTCTGGCTCAGGCAGTGGGAGAGACCTACGGCAGCACCATTGCACCAACCTGGGAAGAGCAGATCAGGGGAAGCATCCTGCCCGAGGTACCTCTGGGCTCCCTGGGAAGAGAGTCCTCAGTGGACAGCTGTGGTCTTGGGCTCATGTGCAAACCAGAGAGGTTGTGTTTCTGAGGTTGGCGTCCCCAGGTGGATTCTCATGCATGAGGTTTATTGAAGAACGCTGTGAGGATGGGCATCTCTGGGGAGGGGTGGTGAAGGACAGAGGGAGACTCTGAGCAGCAGTCACAAAGAAGGCCCAAGCGAATCTTCTACAGAGCTGTGGACTTGGGAGAGCCCTTCCAAGTTGTCCCACATTCGGACAGGCATTGGGTGCAGATTGCAGGTCTTGGGCCGACTGGCTCTCCTGAGAGGCACGCCATCCACAGGGGAGGTGTCCCTTGAGAACAGCACCCCTGCAGCAGGAAGGTTGAATGCTTTGGTCCTGAGGGAGGTGGGGGGGTCTGGGCGGGAGACACAGCATCGCCCCTGTGCTGCTTGGATCTTATTTTACAGAAGTTCTCGGAGCAGCTCCTCCAGGATGGCAGTGGCGCTCTTTTCTCCTTAAAGTTAAGCCCAAAGTCACATTGGGGGTTAGAGACTTCAGTGAATTTTAGGACAACGTGTTTCAGTCCACAAAGTTGCCCGTTCCAGAGTGAATGGGCCCAGTCGAGTCGACCTGGCACTAAGTGGCCGTTGGTTCTCCTTGAGGGATGGTGGTGCATCGGAGCTCAGCATTTGTCTGTGGTACTGTCAGAGGCTGGGTCCGCCTTAGGGAGTGGGGCCCATGTGTAGCCTCCATCTCTGCCACCACAGCTGCTCTTTCCACGTCCCTGGTGTGGCTGGTGACAGGGGCTGGCTGACATCAGTCTGCCTCCCTCTTCTGTGCACTGTATTCATGGCAAAGATTCCTGCAGGACGGAGATGTCGCACTGCATGCCTGTTCCTTTAGCTGACCCACGTGCTCTTCCCGGATCTCCTCGCCCCTGCCTTCTGGGCTCCTATCCACCCGACCGAGTCATTCACGCGCCCGATGAATCCATAGCTGTTGTTACCTCAGGCCACTTCTCTTTCCATACAAGGTGGATGACTAGAGGCACTGCCCACGCTCACCCATTGGGAGGGTTTGTCCTCGTCACTGTCTTTCCAGGTCGCCCCTGAATGGGGCTGTAGTGCAGCCATGGTCCATTTTCAGCTTTCACTTGTGTCCTGAGCCAACCCATCTATGAACAGAATTTGGCCATTTTTCTCCTCTGTCACTTGGTCCTAAGGGACCCACCCCACATGCCAGAAGGTATGAACTGGGGAAGAGGTTTTTATGCAACACGTTGGTCTCGGCATACCTGCTTCTGCAGCTCACGCTGACCGTGGAAACACCACTTCCCTCTGTGACGGATCTCTTTGGCCCCACTTGATGGTCGGCCTTGGGAGGTCTCACACCCCTGACCACATGTTCACTCTGTGCCTGTGGTCAGGCACTTCCTGCCCCCAGGGACCAGCAGCAGTGTTCTGAACCTAAGTCCCTGCTGTGTATGCTTGCCCTTGCTCCAGCCCGTAGGCATCCACATCATGGTTATCCCCTTGTGGTTTGCTGCAAACCTCCCCCACAGGTACTTTGAGTACCATAGGACCTGCCAGGTTGCACAGCCCAGCATCTGTGAATAAAGCAGACCAAACCGCTGCCCACCCAGGGAGCCCGTGGCAGCCGGGCAGCTGTGAGGTGATGGCCTTTGGCTTGTGGTTCTGCCTGCTGCTTGGAGGCTCCTCTGCTTTCTGAGGTGGGTCTGGCCCTGACTTCAGAATCTCAGTCCCTGGACTCTTGCCACAGGCTTCACATTGTATGGTCTGCTGGAGAGGAGGAGCACACAATTTCTTTAGTCCTAGGTCTATTCAGTTCTCTCCTCATTTATCCCCAACATCCGCCTTGAGAGATACAGCTATTTCCTCCACATTCCCTGAGGCTTAGGGGTTCTGGCTCACCCAGAGACACGTAGCCACAATGGGGCTGCAGAACAGGGAGGGACCCAGGTATGTCCGATGCCAAGTCCTCTGCGCAATACTTCACTGTGCTGCCTCCCAGTAAGGGGAGTGCCTGGTGACTTTTTTCTTCTTTCCTTTTTTGCTTTGGCTGACAGGAAACTCAGTGCCAAGTTTAAAGTTAAACTGTTTAAACCAAAGTTAGAACTTTTGCTTCCCTCTTCTATGTTTTTCAAATATCTTTTTGATTGTTGTGATGTCCTTGTATGTTATTGTAGGCATCCTCAAATTCTCTTACTGCATTTAAGATAAACCTGTTATTTGTTTACAAGCTGTGGGTTTTCAAATATTTTTCATAGAACAGAATTTATTTGGTCAAAAAACCATTTAGTTCCCAGTTACTAGACATTAGATTCATCTGTCTGCAGTTTTTAATTTCAAGTGTTCCAAAATAATGCCAAAGTTTTGTTTCAGTGTATTCCTTTACATCTCTTTTGCCTGTTCCTGTCGGCTTTGTGCTCGCTGTCACCCACCTGCCTGTGGTCCTCACTTGGCTCTGGGGTCAGCCAGTCGTCACTACTTGAGAATCTGTCTGACCAAGACTGATGGGGACTCTTTGGGCCCAAAAGAAGTGAGAAACATGTCCTTTCCGTTAATGAGTTTGCGATCTGCTTCAGGGAGCTTGGCAGATGCACTTGAATTAGAGAAACATCTGGGAACAATGAAGTGTTGAGCAGAGCACCCAGGGCAGTGAGATGCCCTAGAAGGCACCCTCAGCGTGGCCTGCTACTGTGAGAGGAGGTTTCAGGGACTAGAAGGATGAGCA